CTTTCGCAGTCTTCGTTAGGATCAAAAACAAGCACGTTTTGGTCCATCACACGAATGACGCTTCCCTGTGCTGTGGAACTTTCGACGCCATTCAGTGGACGAACTCGCACAACAACTTTCATGTTTGAGTTTTGTGTTTTTGAGTTCTTGTCCTTCTTTGATGCCATCTTCAACGAGCTGGACACCATTTCTGATATTTAAAATTACTAGAATTGAAGACAGTCCAGTATTAAAGAAGTTCYTGTGGTCAAAATCCTTCGAAGTTCTAGAGTTTTTGACTTCAAACTCGATCTTGAAACAGCTGATCTTTGGAGGACATAAAATGTCGTTTCAACGCGACAATGTCTAAGCTAACGCGCTTCAAACTTTGCTGTATGTAGKCTTAGACTTATAGGATAGATTAGCTATTAATTCAATGAAAATAATGTCTACATTTCAGTAAAAACAAGTCACATTTCGACTTTCCAAGCTGTTATGATCACGTGTGTCAGCGAAGCCGATTTCAAAAAGAGAACGTTTGACCAAGCTGAACTCTGATTGGCCGARAAAGRGSTGCTYAGTYTTTCTCAAGTTATTGRGCACAGGAAACCCACACAAATCGCAAAAGTTAACTTTCTTTTTGTCTCATTTCTTCGACATTACTTTTTTGTCTAAAAATTGAATTACTGTATAAGGATAAAAATACTTTAGATCACAAGTTACAGGGACAGTGCAACGACATGTCAAAATAGTAAACAAAATATAATATTTTTTTAAAAATATTTTTTTATAGCAAACGTACATAGCAGTTTTTTCTTCTCTTTTTTAAATATATTTTGTATGTATTCATTTCATATTATTTTATTTTTTTCGCGTTGTGAAAAACGTAACAAACTTGACACTCCGCCCTCTCAGTCTCATGTATGTATACCGTTACCATGGAAGCGTGACGGCCATATTGAATCGAAGCAATGAAGCCTGTATTTGTCCAGTTGCTGTTTCTCCTCGAAAACCTATATTTAAAGCCTTAAAATGCACATTAAGTACCCAAGGCAGAAAGGATTCTTTACTTGGGAAGAACTAGGGTAAATATAAAGGATTCGATTAAGATTTTTAGATAAATTTAGCTTAATACTTCGTATTAATAATTCCAGCTGTTGTTCACACGTTATGCGGGACATAGCTAGTCTGTTTACTAAGTCGATTCATCCCTCCTTCTTATCTCTAAATAATCCATTTTAACTTGCTTCTCTTTTTTTGCTCTTCTCTAGATGTCTTGCCAAAGCTCTTGGGGTAAGAAGAGTTCCAATTTTGTGTATAATTCGTAGCCAAAAGCGCGCGCCTTGGGTGCTATTGATCTTACGCGATCAAAACAGTATGTTTTGTAAATAATCTTCAGAAATTAAAGATTATGAATGCTTCCTTCGAAGTGATATAATGTAACTTTTGATGGCCCTTTTTGCGTCCAATACAGTCTGTTATAACATAATTTGTCTTTATAAAAATTTCGAATTGTAGAACTTTAGGAAACCAATCTAGTGTCCGAAAAGTTTCAATAATTTTGTCGCTCCGATGTTTATATTTTAGTCCAAAGAGAACTTTATTTAATTATTACTGTTGGAGAGTAAAATTCAAAGATAAGTTGCTACCGATTTTGAAAATTTAATAAAAAACAATACTGATTTTATTTTTTTTTATTTTTGTAATATTACTAATTTTATACATATTAATTTGTATCTATAGTACCAACGAACACTATTTTACAAGAATATCCCACCTGAATACCATAAGGAAAAAATCCCTGGMCTTGAGATTAAGGTTTGTAGAACTTTTAAGTGTACAGTAGTTGGTTAAAATATTTACAGTATTTTACATTTTAAGTTTGTATATTTTTTACCTTTTGAAAAAAAATCCCATTTTCCATTCACTATAAAACCCAACGGCCCCCAGTGCGATTGCTTCTCTCGTGTTTTTCAACTACCACTGTGTTTACCATAGAGGACAGAGACACAAGCATCAGCTGTTTTTATATAGTAATTTTATATTTTTCTACAATTTTCGTGCGGAAAGCGAATTTTTACGGTAAGCCGTGTCTCTGTCCTCTGATATAAAGAAGATCATCAGCCAATCAGAGCATGTGTTAGTATATCAAAAATTGTATAATAATTGATAATTTTGTTTGTTTTTTCCTGGTAAGACATTGTTGACAATAATGGACATGAAGGCTTTTCATGGTGATCTACATTGTACTTATAACATGCACGACGCAATGTACAACTCAAGGGTTATTGCAAAAGCACTAGATATGCTCTCCAACAAATATTTAAGGTAAGAATTTTATCACTGTTTATTATTAAATTAATAAATAATTGATGATTAATTATCAACTGATAATCAATTATTTGATGTCAATTCATCTGTTACTTGATTATCAATCAATTTAATAATTGAGCCAAATAGAATTGAGGTCT